AAAAATAATAATTTAAAAAAAAAAGAAAGCCAATTAACGGTATAACAAGAAGACACCATTTTTGAAAGCAGGTAAGATATTCAGTAATAGACTTCATGGAGAGTCAGGAAAACCTTCATAAAACAGAGTCTTCACAAAGTCATGCTATTTCATAATCAGAATGACTACTTTGTAGGTATTTCTAAAGCCATTCCATAAATTTTCTCAAACACAAAACTTAATTCAAAATGTATAGATGCATAAAGTTCCCTGAGGAAGAAAGTAAAATTTTAAAAACTGAGTAGTGAAAGTTACTTAGGTATCGGAGAACTGAAGTCAGTAGAGGAGTGGACGTGGGCTACAGGAGGCCGGGGTCCTGGGTCCTGGCGTGCAGCTGTTCAGCAGGCCAGCTGCAGACAGTGGCGGTGTACCGTATACCTCAAAAAGCAGGAAGAAAGGATTTTGAATGTTTTCTCCATAAAGAGGTGATGTATAATTGATGAAATATTTTCAATCTATTTGAACAATGTTTACATGTGTTTAAGCATTGCATGTAACTGCATTTTTTTTGTTTTGGTCTTTTTGAGACCAAGTTAAGCTATGCAGTTTAGGCTGGTCTTGAATTCATTTTGTAGACCAGGCTGGCCTCAAACTTAGCGATCCTCCTGCCTCAACTTCTGGAGTGCTGGGATTACGGGCATATGCCACCAGGCCCAGTTTGCGTGCTACCTCATTCGTATAGTCTGTACAATTTTGTGCTTTTCTGAATCATTAGATTAATTTAGTTACAAATGAAGTTATTTTGATATGACTCACAGCCTTACACAGAAAGTTCTGTGGTATGATAATTAGTCACTGATATTTGACAAACGGAAAAATTAAATACCCTGGAAAATGCTCAGAAAGTGGATGTGAAGTTTGCTGAATAAAGAAAGATAACTTTGAGTTAATACACTTGCTTACTTGCTAAAGTTAGTCATCCCACATGTAACATTCCAAAGCATCAGGTTGTACCCAGTGAATACATAGAATTGTATCTATCAATATAAAATAAAGTAAAATAGTAATGGAGCAAATGACATACTAGTGTACCTGCTTGCAGTTCAGCAAGTTTGTCATTAGTGTAAAGAAACGCTGTTGGCTCTGGTGCGGGAAGCTGAAGAGCTCTGTAACTCTCAGTGAGCAGCGCTGCCGAGGCGCATCCTCCATAGGCGGCGCAAGAAGGAATACGCCGTTCCTGGAGGACAAGCCAATCCCACACAGTCGCACTGGCAGTTCCAACTGATAAGCAGCGGCTGTGACCCCCGACCATCACCCTCAGAACGCGCTCATTCTGCCTGCCACCAGACCTGGAGCGCAGGCCCGGCGAGTGAGTGAGATGACCCCGGACCGGCAGGGTCCTGAATAGACCCAGAAGCCTGGCCCCGTGAGTGAGTGAGACAACCCGGGGCCGCGGATCCTCATTGGACTCAGGCTGCAGGCCCAGCACGGAACCCTTCAGCAGAACTCCCTGCAAAGAGGCTAGAGGCAAGACCCACCCAGCTGATTCAGGAGCAGAACATCTTGCCAGAG